AGAGCAAAGCCACGGATCAGGTGTGTAGCTTTAGTCAGAGAGATCGCAAGGTTCCACCTGGCTCTCAACGGGTGACGTCGAGACTAGCAGGTACCTCAAACAATCATTCGTATATCCGTTCAAAGCGTCATCATTTCCGGTGGCTCTACTTCTCGCGGCAGAATAAAGGATCAACTGATAAACAAGCAGTTTTGTCGGGAATTGGTGTAAGTCCATTTTGTTACGAGTCTAACGAGACTAACAAGACATTTAAGAGTTTGTATTTCAATCGATTCGAAATCACTGATACAGTGAACTCTAACTACAGTGAGAGTCTAAAACCTAAAATTGAGTATTGGCAATGGAAAATTTTGAAACGCCATTGAATTATACGGAATACTCCTCCAAAAGTGGCAGAACATTCCTCCTACTACAATACAGAAACTTTTGAAGTCTATGTCTAAAAGGATGCAAGCAGTCATTGATTCTAAAAGTTGTTCTACAAAATATTAAGTTATTTCGTCGTTCTGCATCCATAAATTTGTCAATTTTCCTTCATCTTATAATTTCTGTAATATTTGACACTTGTCCGAATACTTCTGTCAATTAAATTTTTGTTTATTATTTCGAAATATATTTTTCTTGTTAAAATTCGTTAAATTTATTGCTATAAATTATTCATTACCCTTTTCTCTATGAACCAATCAATTAGTTTAATGTTAATACATTGTATTATTCACAAATATTAAACAAATTTATTTGTCCGAATACATTTGTCAGATACTGTAGATGCATATATTTATATTAATTTTCAAATGCACTAAAAAACCTTTTTACAGAGCTGCAATGTCAACACAAGCTTTGCTGTTGCACTTATACATGTACACAACAATGCATTTTGTTTTTGGTTTCTTTTGGTGGAAACCGAACCTCCGATATATTTTCCCTTTTTTTAAATTAAATATTTAGCATATCTATTTAGGATATTAAAACAAAGAAATTGTACTTCGAACGGCCAAAAACGGCACTGACTCCGTATGGGACAGCTGACCCGATTTGGCTGCTTTTAATTTTTGTCACCAGATCACGTAGCGTAAATGAACAGATCCCAACAACCACTGCTATTTTTTTGCGACATTCTCTTTCCTGAAAATTGATATCTAAGGTATTCTGTAGCAAAGAGATTCTTTTAATATACCACAATTACAGTTTCTTTATTTATTTCTTTATGTCAGAATTATAAAATTTTATTTAGGACTATATGCATTTATATAGGACTCTGTGAAATGTAATAAAAGACAAAACTTTCATCGGATCCAATAATTTTTCTATTTTATTTTGAGCCCAACATGATACTTCGGAGGGAAAATAAATTTCTACATTTGCTCCTAACTTTATAAATTACGTTAGAAAATGTTATTTCGCATAAAAATCATTTTTCTGAGCTCGTGAAAATCTTCAATTCTTCAAATCTTATTTCCTCGATGCAGACATCGCGTTAGTACTTGGATCGAATTTTGGATTGAATTTTATTCGAATAATACACAGTGAAAAGCAGCAGTATCTAAGGGTGTCGTTCCGAGCTTTAAACAGTTAATGAGATTAAATTATTGTTCGACAAATGTCGATTCATTCATGAAGAAGTATTATTTTATTATAAAAATTTAAATTTCCACGTTTAAACAATTAAAAATAATAAAATCCTTTTTTTTTATCTTTTATTCGTTATTCGAAACTTTTTATCTAGATAATTAGTTTGCCCATCTCTGCCACGACCCGAACCGTCGAACCGGTTTGCAGGTTCCGTGTGCTCGAACTACTTGTTGCGTCTGACCGAATTCTCGACGCGCCACTTGTAGATTCGCCGTCCGGGTAGAGTAAAGTAGCCGAATATGAGAGCCATTTTTTTAAACACGCATAATTCTCGATTAAAAATAGTTTTACTGAAATACGATACACGTTTTAAATGTAAGATGTGTACACTTTTACAACATATTAGAAATTATAACAAAACAGATAGAGTTCCATCATAATAAAATAAAAATGAAAAGTATGTAAAAACATGAATTCAAAAACTGGACGCCTAATATAATATCCAGGTTTCATCTTGTCAAAACTTATTTTTTTTCTGTCTTTTTTCACACATTGGGCATATCAAATTACTTGCGTCTGCACTGTAGTCTTCATGGGCCCACTGGTAACACTTGATATACTGAACCCATTGTTTACCATGTATATCTGAAGAATAAACTCCTGTACAAAACAAGCATTCTACATCATAATTTTCTTCGTCATCACTTTCATCGTTCAGAACAATGTCTTCTTCACACTCATCGGTTGAACTATCACTTTTCATGCGTTTCCTTGTAGTGCATTTTTTGAAATTGTTTGCGGCGTTCAAGGCTTGTATCTCTTCTGGTTTTCGAGATAGTATTTCTGGGTCGAAACTTTGGGGAGTGGTTTCACCCCCTTAAAGTGAATGTTAGCCGATAAAAGAAAATACGTGTCCTTTATTTTTGCTTGCTTAACAAACGTACGAAGTTTCATTGAAATCGGCGTCTCCGGGTTGGGAAACCTCCCTTATTAGATAAATTGCAGTAATTTTAAATTTTTCTTGTGAACAACGCACAGAGCACTGATATTCACATGGCACTTCATGAAGAACTATTGTAGAACGACATTACGATATAGCACCACTAATAGCCACGGGCTGCCAGGAATCATTTTACCCCGAGGGATCGTTTTAGACACCTTTCCCCTATTTGTATGAAAGAATTTTTATTTATCTCCTTTACCATTCCGTACCTACTCCTTATTTTTGCACAACAAAACAACTCTTCCCCGCTGATGTTACCGCTTATGATTGCGGCCTGTGTAGATTTTTTTTCTCTTTTTCACGGAAAAGCAAAAACATACTTGCGAGTTGTAAACAACAAGGCACACCGGTGTTCACGAAACGGCCATCGATGGTATGGTTTCTCCTTCGTGTCCTTCAATTATTTTGAGCAGTGTACATTCTACCAACGCAGTCGGCCGAGTGTTTGCTTGTCTATCAGCTGATTGAGGAATCGATCATTCGAGCTGGCAATTAGCATGAAGAAGTGCGGACAGTGACGAAAAGACGGTGTCGATAACGGAGATGGGTGAAAGAGTAATATTGTATAAAAAGTGATCGAATATAGGGTAGACCGAGGCGAATCGGAGCATTTTCTGTTTGATAGTAAAATAAACAGCACCGAAATACAGCCCCGACCACGGCAATGTAGTTAAAGTTCACTATACTTCCCGTAACACAGGTAGATATTTTCTCTTAATTACACTTAAGTACAAATATCTGCAAGAGTAAAAACTTAGGAACGTCATCTATTGTATAATATTTGTATGGGTTATTCCATACCAAGCGGATCACTATTGTACACGATGTCTGGGATTTTGCTCAAATTGAAATATATTATACTTAATGTTGTATAAAGCTCGAGCTTTGAAGCTACAAAGCGTAGCCTTAAAGACTGAGTCTTTTAGGCTAAAATCATATGAAGCTCGAGGCTTTTATGTTTAACACGTTTACTGCCGAGCGTGTTTCCGCTGTTTTGTCTTCAACGCCAAAGAGTGATTTCCCAATAGAATCATATAATAATATATTACACAATATGATTATATGTATTGTGCAAACTTATCATGCGTAATACATTAATCTTGCTGCCGGTCATCTATGACCCCCACGGCGTAAGAGTATGTTTTCAGTCAATAATACTATATTTTGAACATTACAGACCAATTTTTAGCAATGTTTTATTTCGTCTATCATTCAATGGTTATTTTGTTTCATTTTTCATTTCCCTTTTTTGGTTTTGCTGTGTCAAAATTCGTACAATGACTTGAATCAATTATTTCATTAAAATTACCCGTACAATAAATAATATGATACCGGAAAAAGAAAGTTCTACAAAAAATGTCAACATGTTGTTAAGATTGTGATGATAATCTTCCCTTCGCTTCACTCTATTTTAGTACATTAGAGTGTTATATGATTATTTGAATTTGCAATACAAAAAATAAAAATTTTGAGATGTTCATGTTTGCACTTATTGTTTTCAACTACTATTCTAAAAAATTCATTTCTGCAAATGAAGCATCGGTGTCATTTAATAGTTCTTTTAGTGGAATCTTTGATAATGAACACGAGGCAACAATGACAATTCAAATAAAAAAAATTAAGCTTATCCTATTAGTGTATACGAATTCATAGAAAAAAGTTTAACATCGATATACCTCATAGTTTTTTCTAAAAAAATTCCTAAATTTCGCCTCATTTTTTACTCGTCACAGTAGGGAGATCCCTCAAAGGGTGTACGAATACTTTTGTCCTCCACTGTCTCTATATGTATACGCTTTTTGTAGTCAAAGGGTTAATCAAACCTAAATAGGACCTCATATTCGGTGTCGTTACGCTACACGATCATTGTCAGTGGGTTAAAAACCGACTCCCCACCCTCCTCCCAATTCGGCAACAAGAATGCTCCGTGTAGGGGCAGGGGGGGGGGCGTCCTCGTGGTATCCCGTACTGAAATACGACCGCGTTCGGTGACAATATGTTTATTTTGTAATCGAGCGTGTCCCTCGGCGTGCAATAAATATATCGACGGAAATATGCCCGGAATCCGTACTGGGGGCGAGAACGCGTGGTCAACGAGCAAGCACGCGATGAGATGACGGAGGAGAGAGCATTCCGTGTGACGCTGATTCATCGGGATCGCTTCTGTCCCGCGAACAAAACGTGTAGGCTCGACATCCGCGAATGGGAAACAATTCGGGAGCAAGAAATTCCGACGTCGACCATCACGAGGCCACCGAACGGGGGGACGTCGACGATGGACACGATGTCGACGCGGTGATCGCGGAGATGACGAGGAACGGGCGCTCGATCGGCCCTCGCGACGCCGAGCACATGACGGGAGGACGCACGATTGGCTGTCTGCTCGTCCCGTTGGAGAGGGGTCCGCGCGCGGGGAAGGGGGGGGGAGCAACCGACCAGTTGGGGTAGGGGTTGCTGAATGAGTAGCGGGACGTACGACGTCGCGACGCACTCCGTCGCAGCCACCCCCGACGGGCGAACGGATGTCCGAGCGCTCCGCCGCGAGGATTACAGAACAGCCCGTAGCTGAACGCGGTTCATCCGGACACGGGAGAGAGCCGACGACGAGTAACGAAGCGACGAATAGCGAATACGCAGAGAAAAAAAAAAAGAAACAAGGAACACCACAACGAACAGACGGTCGTGTGACCTTTCGACGGTGAGTGTTTACGAGCCCATTGATCCACGCTGAAAGGGGTATCCCCGTTTCGAAATTCGCCGTCAGTCTAGACCAGAGTTGGGGACAATTTTATTCGAATAATAGATAGGAAAAAGTTGCAGTATTTAAGGGCATTATTCCAAACTTTAAAGAGTTAATTGAGGTTAAATAATTGTTTGCCAAATGTCGACTCGGTCAAAATGAAGTATTATTTTATTATAATAATTGGAATTTCCTCGTTTATACGATTAAAAATGACGAAGTACTTTTTTGTCTTTTATTCGTTATTCGAAACTCTTTATCTATATAGTTAATGAAGTTTCCCGTCTTTGGTCTAGACCCCTTTCATGCGATGCCCCTCTTCATAAAAGGGAGTTGGAATATCAGTGGGTGGAAATTTCTTTTTTTCTTCTTTTAAAGAATAATTGTTAAAAAATTTCTTTGTTAACCTTTTAGCTAGTACGCCGCTATAGTGGCTTCTTGTTAGGTCATTTCTTGGAATGATACGCCACTATAATGGTTTTTCTGTAAGTGACACTTTTAAACGATACGCCACTATAGTGACTTACCTGTTTATCTCACGTTGTAAATCGTGTACATTATTTATTTGTAAACATGACTAAATGCATGGTGGAAAGAATCATACACCGTTTACGGTACTAACGTCGTTTACGTGCACTCCGTGGCAAAGCTAGCCATACAGCAGTACTACCGTAGCTAAAAGGTTAAAAAATTGTGATTTTGTTTATGGAAAGATAAAGAGAAAAGATCAAATTAAATTAATCTTAACCATTTAACCCGCTAACTGCATTTGTTTACTACAATAGACGCCTACTTCATCGCTTTAGTGACAATATCTAAAACCTTTTTTTGCCGATCGGCAGTACTAAACTTCTTTAACCCTCATTCGCCCTTTGTGTCAATTTGACACAGTTTTGTCTTACGAAATGACATTATTCTCTCATGTGTACGTAAATTTAGCCGAGGCTTCGTGATTTTTATTTTAAGAATTTGTAAATTTAATTACTTATCGATTCATTGTATTAATTTTTACCACTGGGTCAATTTGACACCGAAGGACAAATTAAGTTGAGAAAATTAGGGACTGATGAGGGTTAAACGATATCCAAACATTAGATAAACGGTATTACTCTGACTACTACTTCGTTATTTATCGTGTGCGAACACATTGTTTATAAACAAGAAATGTTTTTAATAGTTTTAAAATGCCTGCTTATTGGTTTTACATTTTATGAAAAAAAAAATGTTTGTGCCAGATACCAAAAAGATGCAGTGAGTGGGTTAAGAGGGAAAAGAATATTCGCGCTGTCGAGTATTTGACTAGAACCAGCTGCAAAACAAAATTCCCATTTTCCAACTTAATTGAAAACAAGAAAAGTGTTTTCTTTATTATAATATTATTAAAATTAATCGAATCTCTTCCCACTTAAGGGGCTAACACTAGAACACAGACAATTAACGCATACCCATTTCCATCGGATCGACAAAAGTGACAGTTTTACAAAACTAGGGAAATTACTGCCACTTCATTTATTTTACTTAATAGAACCGTAATGTATAAAGAATTGGGTAGAAAAAATTTTATTATTAAATTGGGATTCTGATTTATATAAAAACAAAGAAATACATACAATCGTGTGTATCTGGTATTTAAAAATTAATGTCGAATAAATGAAAGTGCTATTTGAGCGTTAAAAGCGCGACTACGTAAGTAAGAAGTCATTGCGAAATTATATTAGAGAGGGAGTTGTAATTTTGATATTCAACCTATATTGTACAAAATAAATTGTTAAAGTATATAAGAATTAGTTTAATTTTTGAAGTGGCAGTTATGGGGACACTGGGATTGCTCGCAGATTTTAATTAATTATCAATTAATTCTTCGTATTTAATGTATAAAACTATTTTTTTTTAATGAAAGGAATGTTAAATAATATTATGTTTGAAACTGAAACGATTTTTAGGTTAAAGGGCACGTAAAATGATTCAAATAAGTTATGCTACAATCTGAAGGTGGCAGTAATTAGGACATCCACCCTATACAGATTTATAAATTACCTATTAAATTTCTTTATTCGTGTATTCTAATAAACGTTGCAAAAAATCTCGTAAAATATGCTACTGTAACATTTTAATCATTTTTATTAGAGTTTACAAACCCGTCATTCTGACTGCTTTGGTAGATCTCTAATGTTCACCTAGTAGCATTTATGGTTGGCCAACGGTATCCAACAGTTGGGAGTTAGTTGGGATATAGTTAGTGTTTTTGCCTACAAATTCCCAAAATAGGGCCTACGACAAAAGAGTTATGACAATTTGCCAACGAATATCCAATGTTGGACCTACAATTATTATAGTTGGTTAATCAACAAGAAATTTACAATGATAATACAACATTGGCCCACCTAAAGTCTGCCAACATTTAAATATAGTCTTCAAGACGTCAGAAACGTTGCTACAACCAAAAACTTGTTATTACATTTAAAATTGATTTTTTTGTTTTCTTATTTATGAATATACTCATAATTCGTTACTGTCGCGCAACACGTTTGACACTTCAGATTTTGTGAAAATAGAGTCAGGGGACAGAAGATTGGAAATAACTTATAATAATTATTTGTAATAATTAGCTACATGTATAAATTGTACATAATAAATTGTAAAGGTAAATTTGCTGGTAAAACACTTGTTTACCCGTTTAATATATATATACGATTTATACATGTATATAATTATTATAAATATTATTTCCAGTGTTAAACTCCTTCAAATATTTGTAAAGGATTTTATGGAAGTGTAGTATAGCCAACTGTCTTTCTATTGTTGGTTTATTGCAGATACTCAACAATTGGCCCTACAGAAAGAAACCTCCAGTTGGCCCTTCGTAGTATAGTGACGTGGGCCCTATGTTGAGTATGATTGTTGGCCCAGTTGCAAAAATGGGTGACAATTCTATCTGTTGGCCAATCAATAGTGCAGCAGAGGCCCTTGAAAATGCCAACAGTAATTAGTACTAGGGTTATTGCTAAAATAATTATTCGAGCTTCTGTGTACGTCTGTTCAGTTTTTCAAAACTGGCACAACGAAACAGAAAGGTGATCGGGATTTCGTTTATATGGGTTCCGCGGTGATTTGAATGCAACAGAACTACTCGAGGTGTGCTATGTAGTGCGCAGACTCCTATGACATTTCGATGACCGCGGTTGCTAATCCACATTCGGATATTAGAAGATGATTATATATTCCATGGGATAACAAGAATAATCAATTACCATCAGTAATTGACATCACTTTGGTGCTCACGAGTAATCGATTAGGGTAGACCGAGGTGAATCGGATCAGAACGGTTAATAATGATTAATAATTAATAACGGATATTGTGGTAAGTGTAGGGGGAGGGAAGAGGTAATACGAACGATCGAAATGCTCGTTTCTATCGCGATGTAACGAGCATAGACTGAATTCGTATTTGGATCTATGTAATTATTGAACTACTGATTTTTACGCGTTTAGTATCGTATATAGCTGGGGCTCCATATGGCGCTTTATACTTTTTATCAATTTTACCAATTTAATTTGAATGATTAACATTTTAAAGTACTACAAAATACTGAAATGGAAAAAAAATGTACCAATAAGTTGGAAAAAAACAAAAAAATTTGTTTCTTGTAAAAAAATTTTGTTTTAACTTTTAAGAAAAAAATTGGAAAGTTCGTCGAACAAATCAAAGGGAAACAAGTGACGTTGGCGCTCATAGTGGAGATGCGTAGGTAGAAGATACTACCAAACGTATTGAAACCTAAGTTTGCATACTATGATCTTAATTTTAATTTCCTTTAATCGTTGACAAATCTTTTTCCGTGCCATCACAATCTCCATGAAAAAATCTATAACCACCCAAATTTTTATAAAAATGTCATTTTTTATGACTAAATAAGAAGTGATCTTATTTAGATCATTTTAACGTTTCTTTTTCATTAGATTAATGAAGATTTATTATTTTTACAATCACTATTTCCAATTATATTAAAACGACTGTTATTTAAGAACAGAAAAGAAATGAATAAAATATTTCTTCCATATTTTCCTGTTATTATTTCTAATTTGAGACTCGGAGAAATGTCCGAACAATGATTTGAAATATAACTAGCCTGCGGACGTTTATCCTAATTTCCATTTTTATAGTCCATAAATAGTAGTGTATCCATAATAGTGTAGGTCCTATAACCGTGTACATTAATATTTCATCCATCACTAGCATTTAAAATCAATATGCATTTTTATTTCATGTGGCAACATATGTTTAAAAAGAAATAAAAAAAAATATAATTTAGTATTATATCACACAGTTCTATTTGGATATAAAAATATTTTTTTAACCTTTTGATAATCTGATAAGAAATTAACTACCACAGTAATAACTATAAAATTACTAAACGGTTAAAAACCTTCCTTTAACGCAACGGAAACGACATGTACAAAAATTTATCAGACTATTTATTTCATTAACTTTATTGCATCTCATTGGTGTAAAGCCTTTTATTCAACGCCTTACTATAAAAATTCATTTTTACCATCAAGTAAAAAATTATTATTCATGCCTTGTAAACAAAAAGTATTTAGTCTCGTTTACATTCTAATACATATACAGGGTGTAACAAAAATGTTGCAGGTCCCTGAAATGGGAGACTCGTGAGGTGATTTGAAACAAGTTTTTCCTTAGCAAAAATTTTATCTCGTTAACAAAACCTCGGATAATATTTTTGCTAAGGAAAAACTTGTTTCAAATCGCCTCACCAGTGTCCCATTTTAGGGACCTGGAACATTTTTGTTACAGCCTGTATAAATATACAATCAATTCTGTGGTTGCACGGATTTCTTTTGCATGATCTAAAAAAAAATTAAACTCTCTGTACCATTTATCTTGATATAACACGATTCGATAAACTTAACTATTGGAAAATCTTTGTTTAATTGTAACTCTAAGAAAAAATGTATCTATTTATTTTTCTAAGATATTGCTCTCAATTAAAAAGAAAAGTTTTTAATTGATTTATCGTAATGGTTTTACTGATTTTTATGGTCTGAAGGTTCACGGTTTCATTTTTTGCACGGATTTTACGGGAACGTAGCTACCGTGTAAGAACAGAATTAAGTGTATTAAAAAGCAGAAAAAGTATATACGTGATAACAAGAGATATATTTGAAAGTTTACTAGACGTGAGAATACCGAGAATAATTAACAGTTTATAAAATTGTTCAAGAAATGTCGTTCTATGCATCTTTTATATCCACTAGAAATGAGTGACACGCAAGTCAACGTGTTAATAAAGAAGTAAACGTGAGAAGAGTGTCGAATCTGCATCGATATAGGACCGCAGGGGGTTAAAACCCATCCCATATTATAAAATCTTCTTTCTTGAAGGAAGACTGATCCTACGCACGATCGAATTACCCTCATAAGGTATACTTTAAGGGTTAGTGAACTCTCTTCGTCTCGGATTAGTGTTACCCGAGTCACCCCACGCTATTTTTCCCCGCAATCGTTCACCCCCAGCCGGTACATCGTCATCACAAAGTGGTTAATAATACAATTCCGAGAACATTCGAAGAAAAAAATGTCCCGATGTCACTCCAATCGCTCAACGTTTACCGCCGTCAATCTCACGGCGGTGACAAAGTCTTTTCCTATCGCGGCCCCGTAGCCACAGTCACTAAAATCGGCAAGTGTACGAGTGTCGCGGTACTAAATTTAGCTGGAATGTTGTATAAATAGTCGTACCCATTGCAGAAATTTCACGAAAACGTAAACAACCCAGCCCCGCTGTCGTCGAATAGAGAATTTGCGAGCGGCCTAATAACAGCCATCGGGCGGACGCAATCTTACGCATTTGTTACTGGCACGGGCGGCCGCTTTCGATTGAATTTACGATCGCGGTTCAAGCCCGCGATGACAAGACCGCTGACTCGAAACCGTTCGTCGTGTTTTTTCAGAATCGAAGGAAGGGAAACCGACGGGCCGCTGTAGCAAAACCACGAAACGCGTTTCGAGAAAGAAACGCTCGACGAACACGCGATCAATAACGAACGAGAAGCCACACGAACGGAAAAGCTAACGAAAATGCTGTTCCCGGCTGCTGCTGTCCTCTTTGTCTCTGCACTGGCCATGTTATCGACTTTGTCCCTGGCCGTACCCTTGACGAGTCTGAAGAATAATTTGAATGGAAACACGATTGACACAGTGATACCTCCATGCTCCTCGAATGGGGGTTGCTGGGAATTGTTACCGGTAGAGGAAGTTCGTGAGAGCATCCCCACACAGGAAGACCTGTCGAAGTATATGTCCACCGAGAAAATACAGGGTGTAACAAAAATGTTGGAGGACCCGGAAATGGGAGACTCGTGAGGTGATTTGAAATAAGTGTTTCCTTAGCGAAAATGTTATCCGATGCTTTGTTTACGAGATATTAACGAAAACCCCCGACCAATCAGAACGCGAGTCCGCCGGCCGAATTTCCGCGGTAGCATTAAGCTGCGACTACACTGTAGATGGTGGTCCACGCCATTGTTTCAGGGCATAATTTCGTTATTAATGCATTTATGAAAAAATGCCAATGGAAAAAGATAAATGGCTCGAAGAGCACTACATCTGTAGACCCTTAGATTTTTTTTTAAGTGCAACAGTGACAAAAAAATTAGTAGTTCACCTAGAGATATTTTCAAAAAATGTCTTAATTGAAGAAGATGCTCAAACGCTTCATGACTATATAGTAAACGTAAACACCGTTTCGACATTATTGTCATAACAGATAATTTAAACAAAGTTATGAAAACAATAAAACAACGTTATCAGAAATGTTTACAATGTAATGGAGAAGCATTTTCTCAAGGCTTAATATTTCAAAACCATAATCCCAAAAGGATTTCGCCCGATTCGAAATAATAAGAAAGTTATTAGCCTTTAATTGAAGCGGTGTGCTGCAGCGCGCTGGTTCAAATCGAAATTTTAAACGCGTTTTTCTCAAAACGACATTTTTGTAAATGGCTGCCACGATATCTCAGAAACTATTTGACGGAGTGACTTGAAACTATGTAGGCATATTCAATAGGAGCAGACTCGAGCTCTGATTGGTCGGGGTTTTTCGTTAACATGTCGTTAACAAAGCCTCGGATAACATTTTTGCTAAGGAAAAACTTGTTTCAAGTCACCTCACGGGTCTTCCAACATTTTTGTTACACCCTGTATATCCTATCCTATAAGATACTGTGATAACCTGTTCTTGTTGGTTTTTAGAATTCACATACGACGAGAGGCAGTAAATATGGATCCTAACACAATTATAGAATCCTGGGACGACAATGCTCCTGTAATAGAGAAGAAAACTCAGTCGTCGTTGCACAACAGTAAACAGAGTGGTAACAGATTGCTCAAGAAGGATGTACTTATGTCACGTAGCTGGGGCGCTGGCGGGATGCCGTTTTCTGTTCTTTACATGAGTCCCCACGGTATTCGTGGAAAACAAGCAAGTAAGAACATATCCAAGGTCGTAGATAAGTAAAACAGTCGGTTACGCAGTATAAATATTAATTTGTAGTATTGTTTAAGGTACTGCCCAACAACAAGAAATATCAAAAACGAGTGCCACTTCTACATCCTCTGCAGCCCACCCTAATTATCGTATCGCACTGCGCAATGGAGCTTCCACTCAGCCAAGAAGACAGTACTCGATGATACCGCAGTTGTTTATATCTTATGGATGGGGCCCATTTGGCAAATGAAGAGAATTTACCGATCGAAATGTTACAATACAAATGAAATGATCTCAGAAGTTTGGCATGTAGAATTGTTCTTAGAAATTCTTAAATGTACCCCTATAAAGATCTATTTATGAAAAATTTCATTTAAATATAAACCCGCCTCAGACTTCTTCTCTCGTATGCAACTTGAGAATGTATACAGAAACAGAACGCAAGACAAATAAAAATAAAATTTCTTTTTTTCTCGACTCACCGTTCATTTCTTTCATCGCTTTGATGAAATCCTGTGGATCCTTGAAGGAAACAAATCCAAACCCCTTCGTTTTATTCGTTCTTTTGTCTCTGACGACTTTTGCCTTTTGAAAACTGGGATATTTGCCAAACACTCTAACTAACATCTCGTCCGTGACATCGTTCCCTAGGTCTCCGCAAAATATTCGGAAATCATCTACATATACAAACGAATTATTGTAAGTATGTGTAAGGCTAAATAAAATGTCTAATTAATATAAATGAAATTGAGTAATTACCGTCGTCCCACTCTAACAGAGAAGGATCTTCCCATATCTGTCCACCAGCCATACGAACAATTTTCTTGTTTTTCTTCCCCTTACCCTTTGGATGAGTCTCTTCCGCGCTGGCATTTGCCATAATAGAACTGGCCTTTCCTTGACTAATTGCTAATTCGGCCGCCGTGCTAACTCCTTTCACCTTTGGTTTCTTTTTCATCTCATCTTCTGGGATTTTTGTATTGATAATCTGTTCAATAATGTCTGGATGAATCATTGGTGCTGGCGTGGATTCATATGTTTTTGGAGTAGCGGTTAAACACGGGTCCACCATATTTGGTAAATACGGATTACTTATCTGTGCAGGTGATGAATATGTTGTAATAGAAGGAACCGTACCTGTAACAAATAATATTATTCTAGAAAATGCATCACAGTTGAATATAACTTCATAGAGTACGCAATTTTATAAGTATTCACCTTGTCTTGCTACTTGCTGTGGAATTAACATAGGAGGTGGTGGCGGTGGTGGTGGTGGTGGAGGTGGAGGAGGTGGAAACCCAATCATAGGTGGAAATGCTAATGACGCTGCTGCTGCAGCAACAACTGGTGTAGGTAATTCGTGTTGCTCCAATTGTCTAGCTACTTGATTATATGTATTTGCACCAATTACAGGTCTGACCATTGGAGTAACCAACTGACCACCAATTTCAGCCTCAAATCTACAAGATTGTTTAAACATCATTAGTTAAACCCATATTGCATTATAGATAAATATATAGACATGGTTACCTGTATACAAATTTGTACTCATTTACTTGCTTTCTAATAAATGAGCAATATATAACATAATATACAGGGTGTCTCAGCTAACTTGATCACACCAAATAATGACTTAAGTTTATGAAAATTTTGAGGCGTGGAACATAAATGGCATTAAAGGACAAATCTTATAAGGATGTGACCCTTGATGCTATTTAAGTTCCACACCTCAAAATTTGCATAAAGTGTACTGTTAAGTGATTATTTAAGGTGATCAAGTTAATTGAGACACCTCGTATAACTTATATTTTCAGTGGAACAAACATAGTGACTTTTGAAAAATCAGTCCTTCTTAAACAACTGCAAGTAGTGGACTTATAGACTCTGTTTATCCAAATCTTGATTCAACCTTCTACCTATATTGGTTCTTTGTTTGAGGTGCTCTGAATTGAGGGCAAGTACCCCAAAAGATAAACCCTGGACCATTCTTAACTTGTGACCTTGGATACCCATTTGACATAAAAGTATATATTTGCTTCTCACTTTGTGATGTTTTAGGAAGTTACTATATTCTTTCCACTGACAGTAAATGATGCTACAATTTCGGAAACGAAAATGTAATTCACATGGAATGATAACATAAAGATCTAGAAAGGTTAGAATATTTATAAAGCTTACAACTAACACAATACCTGTTCATTTCATCTTCCATTTGTCGAAGTTTGTCGTCCATCTTGCTACTTTGCTTTTATTGATGCGTTTAATATCCTAAATGTATGCTTATTAGCAAATAAAATACTTATTCCTCAGCTGTACGCCTGTAACTCGAATCCTCATACGTGATGCCAAACACTGATGCCGGAAGTGCCGGAACGTGGGATAACCGCGCGAGCGCTTACCCTCTCCATGCCTCCCGTGGGTATTTTATCCAAGCATATTCTACCTTCTCGGACAGGGAGTGCAACCTGCAACGTGCAACTTAGCACTCTCATTTCCTCTGTGATCACTGTGATCGCCGAATCACGATCACGGTCGTGATTTAACTTCATTCACGACCGTGATTGCAATCTTTTTATTTTGAGTGAATTTGCTCACTGCGACCGTAAGTTTTTGATCTTTAAACAGAAAAACGTATTCAATATGATTTTACGATGAATTACATTACTATTCGTGTTTGTAAAAACCAGTGGAAAAAACAAGAAATTCTAAAAGAATGATTTGCTAGGTAACATGTAGATTATAATTTATAATCATTAATTTATTCATTATTCTTCATTGTTTCTAAGTATTCTTTTACTTTATACGATATAATCACCGACTAGGTATAGAATAGACCTATCATCTAATGCTTTTTTTCTGTCTCACGTTCATAGGGCTACGTAACCCTGTTACCATTTTAGTGTCAATACCCGACGTTACCGATAAAGCATGAATTCTGGGTATTATTAGCACAAATGAAGTGTTATATATTCCATTCATATTGCGTGTATCTACATATATGATTTGACGGGAATAAAAATATCCGATGCTTCAGTTTAAGGTGAAGGGATAAATATGACAATCATGAAACATGAAACGGAAAAGTATATATTTTTTCACTTAACTACAAGACAATTTATTATAAATGCATCGTTAATGGACATTCTGTAAGGCTAAATAAAATGTCTAATTAATATAAATGAAATTGAGTAATTACCGTCGTCCCACTCTAACAGAGAAGGATCTTCCCATATCTGTCCACCAGCCATACGAACAATTTTCTTGTTTTTCTTCCCCTTACCCTTTGGATGAGTCTCTTCCGCGCTGGCATTTGCCATAATAGAACTGGCCTTTCCTTGACTAATTGCTAATTCGGCCGCCGTGCTAACTCCTTTCACCTTTGGTTTCTTTTTCATCTCATCTTCTGGGATTTTTGTATTGATAATCTGTTCAATAATGTCTGGATGAATCATTGGTGCTGGCGTGGATTCATATGTTTTTGGAGTAGCGGTTAAACACGGGTCCACCATATTTGGTAAATACGGATTACTTATCTGTGCAGGTGATGAATATGTTGTAATAGAAGGAACCGTACCTGTAACAAATAATATTATTCTAGAAAATGCATCACAGTTGAATATAACTTCATAGAGTACGCAATTTTATAAGTATTCACCTTGTCTTGCTACTTGCTGTGGAATTAACATAGGAGGTGGTGGCGGTGGTGGTGGTGGTGGAGGTGGAGGAGGTGGAAACCCAATCATAGGTGGAAATGCTAATGACGCTGCTGCTGCAGCAACAACTGGTGTAGGTAATTCGTGTTGCTCCAATTGTCTAGCTACTTGATTATATGTATTTGCACCAATTACAGGTCTGACCATTGGAGTAACCAACTGACCACCAATTTCAGCCTCAAATCTACAAGATTGTTTAAACATCATTAGTTAAACCCATATTGCATTATAGATAAATATATAGACATGGTTACCTGTATACAAATTTGTACTCATTTACTTGCTTTCTAATAAATGAGCAATATATAACATAATATACAGGGTGTCTCAGCTAACTTGATCACACCAAATAATGACTTAAGTTTATGAAAATTTTGAGGCGTGGAACATAAATGGCATTAAAGGACAAATCTTATAAGGATGTGACCCTTGATGCTATTTAAGTTCCACACCTCAAAATTTGCATAAAGTGTACTGTTAAGTGATTATTTAAGGTGATCAAGTTAATTGAGACACCTCGTATAACTTATATTTTCAGTGGAACAAACATAGTGACTTTTGAAAAATCAGTCCTTCTTAAACAACTGCAAGTAGTGGACTTATAGACTCTGTTTATCCAAATCTTGATTCAACCTTCTACCTATATTGGTTCTTTGTTTGAGGTGCTCTGAATTGAGGGCAAGTACCCCAAAAGATAAACCCTGGACCATTCTTAACTTGTGACCTTGGATACCCATTTGACATAAAAGTATATATTTGCTTCTCACTTTGTGATGTTTTAGGAAGTTACTATATTCTTTCCACTGACAGTAAATGATGCTACAATTTCGGAAACGAAAATGTAATTCACATGGAATGATAACATAAAGATCTAGAAAGGTTAGAATATTTATAAAGCTTACAACTAACACAATACCTGTTCATTTCATCTTCCATTTGTCGAAGTTTGTCGTCCATCTTGCTACTTTGCTTTTATTGATGCGTTTAATATCCTAAATGTATGCTTATTAGCAAATAAAATACTTATTCCTCAGCTGTACGCCTGTAACTCGAATCCTCATACGTGATGCCAAACACTGATGCCGGAAGTGCCGGAACGTGGGATAACCGCGCGAGCGCTTACCCTCTCCATGCCTCCCGTGGGTATTTTATCCAAGCATATTCTACCTTCTCGGACAGGGAGTGCAACCTGCAACGTGCAACTTAGCACTCTCATTTCCTCTGTGATCACTGTGATCGCCGAATCACGATCACGGTCGTGATTTAACTTCATTCACGACCGTGATTGCAATCTTTTTATTTTGAGTGAATTTGCTCACTGCGACCGTAAGTTTTTGATCTTTAAACAGAAAAACGTATTCAATATGATTTTACGATGAATTACATTACTATTCGTGTTTGTAAAAACCAGTGGAAAAAACAAGAAATTCTAAAAGAATGATTTGCTAGGTAACATGTAGATTATAATTTATAATCATTAATTTATTCATTATTCTTCATTGTTTCTAAGTATTCTTTTACTTTATACGATATAATCACCGACTAGGTATAGAATAGACCTATCATCTAATGCTTTTTTTCTGTCTCACGTTCATAGGGCTACGTAACCCTGTTACCATTTTAGTGTCAATACCCGACGTTACCGATAAAGCATGAATTCTGGGTATTATTAGCACAAATGAAGTGTTATATATTCCATTCATATTGCGTGTATCTACATATATGATTTGACGGGAATAAAAATATCCGATGCTTCAGTTTAAGGTGAAGGGATAAATATGACAATCATGAAACATGAAACGGAAAAGTATATATTTTTTCACTTAACTACAAGACAATTTATTATAAATGCATCGTTAATGGACATTCTATTAATGTTACTTTTTACATGTTCTTGTTTTATTCGTTTTTATATCTTGCCTTACATTTGTATATTTGTAACAGATAAATTCAGAATAGATGTAGTTTTATAAATAGTTTATCAAATCTACATGTAGGAGAATATATACACCGCTTTTATTAACATTTACATATTTATAATTTATATGGGAGTATGAATAGTTTTACTGCCTATTGTAAGAATCTTAATACGCACGAACAATTACTTTCTGGCAATTGGTAAATTTTTACGTATGAATTTACTTACACGTTATTTACTTACAAAAATTTTATTTATTGCGAGTAATTAAATAATGAACGTATGTTAATATTCAGCTACGTGTCTCTCAAATTAAGTGACATACAGAAGTTTTATTTTCTTGAAAATTAGTGTCAAAGAATACAGCAACTGGTCAGATTAGTTTCGTAAATAAATCGAAACCCTGTATCGACACATTGTTTTTTAGGCTATCAAATATCACACGGAGTCTTTTAGAAAGTAGTAAAATCTTTTACATAAAAATGCAATGAAATACTTTCAGGTACCCAGTTTAGGGCTATGAAATTAGAATGTTCAAGTAGAGAAAAAAGTAAAGAAGTTTCATATTTGCAATTAATTTGTGATACAGTAATAGAAATTTGTATCCTGTAAGAAAAATCGTATTTAACGATATGAAATGAATAATAAATAACGGTCTTAGGGATGTATACTGGAGAGCTAAATCTTTAAAAGGAACATGTCGCTTAAACAAATTAGTTAAAAATGATATTTATTTGGAGAATATGAACATACAAACACGAGAGCGGTAGAGCGAGCCGCGGTATCGGTGCTCTCCGTCGGTTCAACGCGCTAATGATGTTGCGTCACACAGTTTATTGACCTAGCCGTGTACGCCGTGTACCATTGCCGTACCTGGCTGTACCATCCGGTGTTTGGGTCGTTCAAGGAAGGTCGTTCAAGCCGGCAAAAACAGTTCAACACGAACCAACCTGCGTACGCCCAATACATAACGGCGTTAGCTTCCTCACTTTCTCGTGAGCCGTCGCGGAGGGTGGGCGCGCGTCTCATACTCGTCTTTTCTCTTGTTACTAACCCATTGTTTGTTGCAGGCATTCGACAACCATCAATTTATTTACTGTGCATATTGTTGTGTCCCCTCTCTTGTTACTAATC